ACAGAAGGAGTCTTTACTGATTCCTTCAGATTTCGGGCCAGCAGTGATTCAATTGAGTTGTCAAATGACTACCTATGAAGCTAACCAATCCGTGCCGTCTACCTCAAGAAGTGATGCCGTAGTGGCCGACTGAAGACTTAGATTCATACAACTTAGGAAGACAGCCTTTCTATCTGGAAACATTTTACTGTAGTAGAATACAGATTACGATATATGCTTGCATTACTGTCTTGTGAAGGCCAGCAGACATCCTTGCTTAGACATTAATTACTTAAACAGAGGTAATTCGTAATTAAGCATACTATTTAAATCAGTGTCCATTACCATACCGATGATCAGTTGCGCTTTACGGTACCGAGGGCGTGAGTTTGNGTTTACGTTGTTCAGTTCGGGTATGATTAAGTGATTGACTGAGGAACACAGATGTAAGCCGTCGTGTGTTTCTGAATGCTGTGGTGGAAGGTTCGTTTTTGCATCGCATTGGGATGAGTAGGCTCCACTGATCAGCACTCGTATTGCGCATGCAGTTTCTGCCTCAGGATGGGGAAAATCGTTTGTACATCAAAAGATGACCCGTCAGTGAGACACGAAGGAATGCATGGGGATACTGATTAGTTTGTGTATCTCCCATATTGCTGTTTGGTGTTCAAAGCAATCCGTAACTAGTTGGTTAGAAACACCGAACGACATGGCATCAAACCCACAGCAGTGATTTTCTCGTCAGCTCCTATCAGGTCAGAATACTTGATGGTTTGCCTATATATGCACGATCAGATTTTTTTCATGGTAATCATAGAGATGCACTTCCCCCCCAGTCTTTAAACAGGCCTACTCACTATCCATCTTATGCATTCTTGATTACTCTGCGTACGTTGTACTGTCACGATGAAACTACACCTTAATGTATCGTGAAGGTTTGTGTACCTCCGTGACCCAGTGAGCTACACAGGATGGCTTTTGTCAAGCCGGAGATCTAATCATGCCAGGAAGGTCGGAGGATGGAGGTCAAATAAATTCTAGTCTCCTGGTCCTCCGGGTTGAGGGTTCAACTCAAATTGTCATCTCAGTCGGTAAAATTGCTGGAGAAGTAATTGATCCAAGTTAATCGGCCTCCAATCCGCCTTAACAGGTGCCTTGTGGTTACGTTCTTGTCAGAATCAAAGGCTTTGGTTGAGAACCCTAATCTTTCTGCTTAGTGGCTGGACACCCTATCAATACTCGTCCATAAAGCTCCAATGAACACACAAACAAAAAATAATTCTATACTGTATCGGTCATCTCGCAGTATAATCAGGACCGCGCTCCCCATTGCATCGAGCGGGGTGGAGAGTGATAAGTGGGCAACTGCTCAGCTGTCCCAACCTTTGTTCAACTCATTATCTTTGTTACCCAACCCTATCTTTTTACCCCTTCTTCCGACCGATAACATCCCATGAGGCAACTTGTTTGTCACTCACCAAAGGTCATTGCCAAATAGCACTGTGTTGCGACTATTACTACTATTACTACTACTGCTACGAATACTAGCAATCGGCTCCACCTAATTAGGTGTTAGTACTAAACTATCCTCGCTCATTGATTTGTTGACTGTTTGAAAGCCGCCTTGGCGGCATACGGATGTCGTCAATCGCTTGAGCCAGTTGTCGATCTTCCTGCGTTTTGCCCGTTCCCGCTTGCTCACCGGTTTATGGATCGGCTACATATGTGCCCTCAACAATAAACGCACTACCTAATTCACTGCGGGCTTATCTACCTACTTAAACAGGGTCACAACACACTGTACGTAGTTTAGCACTGCATAATTTTCACCGTCTGAAGCCTCGCCAACCTTTCAATCCGGGAGCCTTCAATGAGAGGACTGAAACAGGTTGGTCAATAAGCGCGTCTTGCGCGTACAACGACCTTTTTGGAACTCGATGTCTGTTGTGCAACGGAGACACAAATTCAGGATCCCATTAGTGTAGCCATAGCATAAGTCATGTGAGTTCCCCTTGTCTGTCCTCGGGATACTTCCTTCGCCCATCAGGAGACGACGAAGCCCGCTCACTGGGTCAGCATGATGTAGGGATCGTATTAAACGATAAAGCTGAAGTCTCTGATGGATTGGATACTCGTCAATAGTCGTTTGTGCGCAATACGGCTACAGGGTTCAGTCAGGTGTCGGGAGGGTAGCAACCCCAAAAGGTGTTTGTTCATAGTTTCCGCGTATGCACCCACCAACTGCAATCCCGCTTCACAAAAGGACGAATTTTACGACAAACTCGCCTCACTCATTCGGTTGAGCCGCAGTTCTGATATTATAGTGCTGGTAGGTGATTTTAACGCGCAGGTTGGAAAACTGAGCGCATCCGAAGGCTCTCTAAGGGGACGTTACGCTCTTCCCGCTCAGCGAACGGTCGACGGCGACCAACTACTTCAGTTCTGCGCAAGTCACTGACTCTCCTTATCTAGCACCAACTTTCGACACAGCTACCGTCGAATGGCAACATGGTGTTTAACTTCAACCGGCAATCGACCCAAATTGACTACATAGGTGAGAGCTACCGTTGACGTGGCTCCGTATAAAATTGCAGATTCTGTTGGGTTACCTGCGTTGAGTGTGACTGCGCACTATTTTTGATACGCTTCACTCTTCGACCCATCGGTCATCGTCAGACAAACCCTCCTCAGCTAGCTAATCATTGTGTGCGCGATCCATCTGTTTACACACGTTATAAGGAAGGGCTTAGACAGGAGCCAGGAGAACCTCGAGCTGATGGAGTAGACCAATATTAGGACCAAATCAAACGAGCGATGCATTTGACAGCAAACTTCGCTTAAGGGGCTGAGCCACAAGTTCTTCCAAGACATTGGATCTCTCAGGAGTCAGTAATCCTGATGAAACAAAAGCTGGAGATCCCCATTTGTCGGGACCAGCATAGGGACCAATGGCGCCTGTTATGTCAGCTCAGGAAAAGCCTCAAGAAAAATCACGAAAACTTGTGGGTCAGAATAGCTAGTGAAATGGAGGTAGCTTTTGCATCAGGAAATAGTCAAAGGCTGTTTCACCTGCTGCACTGCACCTGAGGTCGTCGCATACCGGTCAGTGAAACCATTTGCGATAAAAGCGGGCAGAGTATCCGCAATAAAGAACAATGACTTCATCGCTGGGCAGAGTATTTTAGTGAACAGTTCAATTGGCCCAGTTCTAATGAGGTTATTCAGGCAATTGCAACAGAAACTCCGTGGGTGGTATTACGTGAACCCTCATCAGAATCGAAAGTACTAAGCTGCATTCAATCATTAAAGAAAGAGAAGGCTGCGGGACCTGATGGGCTTCTCCCTATTCTTTTTAAGCTGGGCGGTGGTTCTCTTGTCGACTCAATTACTAGCTTACTTCGCATTATTTGGACGGAGGAGCGTATCCCTTTGTCCTGGGTGATTCGTTGATCGTCCCGATCTTCAAGAAGCGATCACGCAACGACTGCGCTAACCACCGTGGGATTAGTTTAGTTCCGATAATCACAAAAGTGTTGACTTCTGTGATACTTCGTCGC